GTAACAGTGGGAAATTTTTTCAAAAAACAAAGGCCAGAAGGGATAATGATATGCTAATGAGATGCACGACACTCGATTGCAACTTTGTTGCGATTCTAAGCGCACTTTCGTATTTTTACACACAGACAAACTTGTACACAAACAAAATTTCACACTGTATAACATACTGCACAATAATTAATATCTACAAATAGATTTGTATGCATTTGCAGATTACGGTACTGTACTACAATCTCTTGAATAGACTAATTTGTTAGCACTGGTATAGGTCACAAGTGAGAGACAGCCGTCTGACACAGTCGATTGCGTTCGACTTCCGGCAGAGTGACTGTACCGATACATTCCATGTTTAATTTAGACATCCGGGAAATTAAAATAAAAAAATAGAAAAAGTCAATAAAAAAAAAAATGTTTGCATGATACCGGTAACAAAAAAAATACTCAGTATACTATTTCATGTAATATATATTAATTTTCTTATTTTTTTTTGATAACGAAAAGTATATTCTAAAAGAAGTAAAAACAAAAACGAATGCATTCTTAGTAGCTAATGATCACGGTAACGGTCATGCTGCGTTTCACACAAGTGAATAACTTACTTGTTTTCGAAGTGTTATAATTGCTGATTATTACTCAGTAGTGATTACAATAACGTACAAAAAATAAATTCGTTGAATTGTTGTGAAAATTCAACTTAGTTTCACCGCAAGCGAATGATTTCGGTCACATATAAACGCTCGATTCGATACGATATCTGCCATGTTTGTTAAAACATCTTTTTTGACCTGATAGGTCAAGTCGCTATTTAACCAATCAAAACGCTGGATGGTGCCAACGTGATTAAATTACCATAGCTCATTTAAATATGTTAATGTAGTTCAGCGACCTCATGGTAAACAAAACACGGAAGAGATTTATCGTTGTTGTAGTGCGATCGTTTGGCTTTTGATGGGAAAACGGCATGATTTTTTTTTAAATCAAGAAATTAGTTGTTTTCGAAAGATAAGCTGAGCACTTAAGAAGAATTTAACACTTTTGTCGATAATAAAAAAAGCTGTGACCTCAAATATGATTTTTACGGTATTCAGTTTTAATGTTCGGAAGAGAAAATTATTGACTCAATAATATGGGGTTATTATGAAGATATCGAAAAGTATGCACAAAGACAGTACAGTGGGAGTATCAACCCATGCGCAGGGGAGGTCGATGCAACGGCGTAGTGTCTGAGTGCATACTTTGCGGTATCCTTGTAATAACTTTATTATACATCTTTTCAAAAAAGTTTTATTTAGCAAACGTCTTTGTGTGGATTCCGGCAATCCCTGGGGCTGCCATGTTTATTTTTATTATTAGAGGACGCCTACACACATAATATTTCCATATTTGGGATTGCACGTTTCCTAATATGGTAGGATGAAAATACCCAGTGCAATATCGCATATTTACAGCACGCTATAACTTATGGTATGGTAACAGATGATGAGTTTTATTCAGCAATATGTTACCGTGTTTTCAAACATGAGGTATAATAAATCCTATTATTCCTGTAAGTATAAAACAAAAATGATGGTTTATATGTGCAGCTTGTCTTTAAAATAACAATTTGTGTTTTACTGAATATATAATTATATTTGATTCCAGGCCACAGTGTCTTGTGTTGACTGGTGCGCCTAATTGCAGGCCAGCACTGGTACATTTTGTGTCGCATCTTACTAAGAACACCAGTCTGATGGTGTGTGGTCATGTGTTGCAGGTAAGTGTGATAAGCTTCATAGTCAAATGGCAAATATAGCTGAATAAATTGCTATGGAAATTTGAAAAGCAGATGACCATTTTGCAATTGAGTCAATGGGTATCTGTTTTTCAGTAGGAATCAGGCGGAAAGATGGACTGTCACTCTGAGAAGGGTTCATAACTGATAATGTATACTGTTCCTTGTCAAATTTTGACAACAAACTACCCAAATCAACAAACTCATTACACCAAATTTTGTTTTTAACTTTGTCTGGCACCCAAGCGCCTAATGGAACAGTTACACTTGTAAAATGACTAACTTTCCCTCCTTCCACCTGCTCCTGTACCGAATATTGTGGACAGGAACCTGTTATTTCGTTAACTGTATTCAGAACTGCATTTTCAACCACTGTTGTAGTAGCTGGGATGCTCGTACAAGTTGTTGGTGTTGCAATGACCGATTCCCCGAGTGTGTTAGCTTGACTTGTTTGCATCGAGTTTGCTAGTCCATTAGTTCCTGGCTGCAAACAAAGACTGTTAACTTTTTCACCACCAGTTCCCTTTTTTCATCACAAATTCACAAAATAGTCCATCTATAGTCTGCACTTTCCTTCAGACTATTGGAACAAAAATAGTCAATTTTGTCTGTTGGCTCCAAAATTAGGCGTTATAAGAATTATAAGAAGAAAGTGCAGAAAAATTAGTGAGAGAAAGTCTGATAGTGAAAATGTTATGTTGGGTCTATATTCTTGTCATTTTCCAGATATTGAATTGCTGGATTCATTGACACAAAAATAGCACTTATGGTATTTGTATGTACTTTTCTTTGTGATTCAATTGATATGACCAGCATTCTTGTCACAAAATTTGATAATCTTTCACTGTCTGACCTACTGATATTACATACTTTATATTCTATGGAAATATTTTCAAGTAAATGTCACAGTTAGTTAATTATATTAATCTAAAGTTTGCTTTTTAGCATTATCATTTTCGATACAATACAGAATGACAATGTTCTTGTCTTCAATATTGGTTTAATGAGGCTGGTTGAGATCCATACCACAAATTAACATACAGTCCTTGGAATAATTTTTGTATTTCACTTTGGAAAGAGATTTTGTATCCTTAATCCTTGGTATCTCAGCACAACTTATTATTATTGTCTATGTACAGGGCGAACAGAAAAACAACCTTCCTCAATTGATATCAAACTACCAAAACCAGTGGTTGAAAAAGGAGCGAGTGAAGGCGTTTTATTCACCAACATGTGCTTCTAACTTATTAGTAGGAGTCGAGTCACTCATGCAGGTTAGTGTTACAGCATCACAGTTTTTGGAAGAGCAACTTTAATCACCTCCAGAATGTATTTAGGTTGTTTTAATCACCTCAAGAGGGCACCATATATTACAAGTATTTGTTTTTCCAATCACCTCTAGAGGGCGCTGTACATTACATGTCTTTGTTTTTGATAATCACCTTCAGAGGCAATCTGATTAAAATCTGATGTAGTGTAGGGGCTTTAATTATTTTATTAATTTTTTTTTTTATTATATTTGTTATTAATGCCTTTTTATTTTATTATTTTACTTTGATTTTGATTTTGTGATTTTTTTTAATTCCGCC